GAGCATTGACAAGCGCTTTTATGTAGTACATGCTTGCTTTGCTTTTACTCAGTGTCGCTTGGTAAATATTAAAATTTGAATTTACCTTTTAAATTTACCTTTATCCAGGTGTTCAGTCAGGTATGGTGTCAGTTAAATTGGTATATGCTTTGCAAGTGGCTTTCAAATTTCAATAATATTAATTTTATTGAAATATTATTTCATTAGAACTTCATAATATGAACTTAGACATAAACTGATGGAATAAAACAAACTAAGTACAATGACCAATGATAACATATTTAATTTGTTTGATTTATTATCTTCATTGCAATCATGTTCGATAATATCACAGGTCAATATTAATGTAGAGAGTGTTTACTCTAAATTTTAAATAGGATTAAATTGAAGTGATGCGAATTGATTTCATCCGAATTGAATTGAATAGAATTGAATTAACTGAAAGTGCTTTTATGCTAAGCGTGATTTCTCGTGGACACATCAATGATTTCAGTTGATATGCATTATACATGAGACTATCCATGGAATGTACACTCATTTAGATGAAATTGCAGAAGCAAAGTCAGATTTCAGAACATACGGGCAGAAGTATATCTGGTCGTTTTCGACCGCGTATAAGCAAGCATCCAGATATGCGAGGAAAGTGAGTGACCCTCTTGACCTCCGGCGTAGTATAAAATGCACTGTAGTCACATCTAAGCATCTCATCATGGCAACTTTTATACCCGTCACTAAAGAAATATTCACAAATCCTGCACTGTAGGGTCTGAGCTACCGGAAAGTTCCTTCTGTTTTTAGAAACCCAAATCCCGAATATGATTTATTGAGCTGAATCAAGCCTTTTAGAAATCTGCGATCGTGTCGAAAAAGGATTTGATCTTAACAATATCGTCGTCGATCAAAGATGATGTAGAAGCGTGATTTATCAGAAAGATCAAAATTACTTATTTCACACTTTACGAACGATCTTCTGCATGTTGTTAGAAACTACACCTTAACTAAAGACTTTCAATAATTTTTTACCCCTTTATGTAGCATTTTATTCCTCGTTGCAATTCGTATCGAATACAGTGGCGTCAATGAAATTTAAAGTAGCCATGTGCACACGATCGAGTCTCACTGAACACTATCATGAATCATTTTCGTTTTAGTTCCTTTGCTAGGTTAGTATGTATGCATTCGGTGGTAAAGAGGAAGAGCCAAATATTAATCAAATAAATGTACGCATGCGTGTTGAAAGTTGTTGTAACCGAAACGGACAGAAGACTGAGTATATTCTTAATTTAAGTTACATTTTCCATCGACATATGCATGCATGTGCATCCGTGGAATGTCTGGGGTAAATAAAGAAATTTGAACTTTAAAAATATGCAGTTTTCGCACGCATGTCGAGTAGGATAAAATGTATGGCAGTGGGTGACAGTACAAAAATTGAGTTTTTTCAGTTGTTACGCCCAAATTAAAATCGATGCAATAATAAAAATTTCCACTTACATTTTATGGATGATTCGAGAGTAACTGTTTAAAAATGATAAAAAATTCGGCCATCATCGCCCAATATATCGTAATACGTTTTTTGTTTTTCGTTACGATTCAAGCCGAATATAATTTTCTTACTTATGTGGTTGAAAGCGTACAAACATTACTGTCGTTTTCCCAGCAATTGCGTTATCTTTTCGAAAACAAAGGACTTGATTGCTTTTTTTAAAACATCTCCTAATCGTTACTCCCTTCCCAATGAAGCAAAAGCCCTCGTTCGTCATATTGAAACTTTTAAATGCTTTCTTCGATCTTACCGTACCACTATTTTCAAAAACTCTTTAGGAGGCGTCGAACAATTGCTGCGGTAAATGTAGATTTCCTCTTTCTAAATTTGGTTAGTGAGCAATTTTACTAAATTACAATAAGAAAAAAACCATAGTCCAATGCTTAATAGGTTTTAAGTCCTATGTTCAGCAAATGTTTAATTTGTTGTTCAACTCCTATAAGATAAGCGGTAAAGCAGATCATCAATAGAAAAAAGGATTTCTCTGAACGGATTGTCACGCATTTATATTGCTTTCAAAAAATTAAAAAAAATATATATTTTATGTACAAATATTTTATGCACTTCTACTTTCATATGGAAAACGACGTACATTACCAGTACTTGATGTTTTGCTTTCTTGTTTCTTTTGTAGAAATTGCAGTGAGTACAAGTTATTATAACCTGCGAAAAGAGGTGTTGATGACATAATACTTAACGCACATACAAATATTATTTTAAACCGAATGAACTAGGCGTCCTTCTTTTCTAATGTTATTATAAAAATTAATTCATCTTGTAAGAAATACAATTTACTTCGACAGCAAAATACTACAAAACACTTTACGTTTCGCAATTTTCATTGTCCCCATGGAAAAGCTACTAAGGGGGAACAAAAGTCTTCAATTTCTTGCTATAAGATCTAATTCCCCTTGGAAAAACGTTATGTGGACTCTGTGAACGCTACCTTTTACAATTCCTCTGACATAGAATTGAAAAATACATTTCGCAACTATTTTGTACAGTATGGTTGCAACAAATAAACAAAAAAAAAAAAAAAAAAACGATCTACGATATATTTATTCTATTCGCAAATTTCTGAACGAGGCAAAGTTTTCAATGACTTAAGGTTGTGGTCTACTTAGGGCCACTTTTAGCCATCTAAAACGGTTTCCATCGACATGACCTATTACGGGGTGATACAAAGAAATTACGGCCGTTCTTATAAAATAGTGAAGAGTATGGTAGATAGGTGGTTGGCTATGTGGAAGGACCAAAAAGAACCACTACATTAGCAGAGTTCATTGGAAAATGTCCGACATCATTCGAAGCGAAGGAAAATTCAAAATGCCCGAATATAGGAATTACATCTTGGGGTGTAAATATTTTTCACAGACAGCCATTTTGTCGTTTCAACTTTTCTTTAATAAATTCTTCTAATTAAATTCATTTTCTTGAAAAAGTGGATTTTTATTAAGCATAGAACAAATTCGCAATTTAAGCTATTAAGCTTTAAAGGCTAATATCGAAATAATTCCTATTTGATTTTGATGTTTCGACTTTTATTATGAAAGTGTATCGCAAGCATTCAATTGGAATTGAAAGAGTCTGCGGTTTAACGATGCTGTTAGAACGTTGAAATCCCTCATATAAATTTTTCCTTCAATAACATAAAATAACATGTATGTATTTGTATTTAACACACCTTTATTGTTTTTTATTTTTTATTTTTTTTGTATATTTTCACTTTATTCATTTTCTTCTTTTTTGAGAAGAAAAAAAAAAAAAAAAACACGCACACGAATTCATATATGTACGTAATTTTTTATGTATGTATGCATATATGTATGGCTGAGTACGTTTAGATAGAGATTGAGTACAATTTCAAAATACAGTTAGAGTTTGATTTTAATGGAATTTTATTATTCAATGTCATATATTTTCTTATTTTGTTCATTTTTTTTTTTTTTTTTTTTTTTTTTTTAATATAATACGAAAGATTCAGTTTGCAAAACACTAATACACCGACAATTATGTACAATGCACAATGTACAATACAATACCTAAAAAAAAAAAAAATTTCCTACATACATATTACAACACTGCTGAAATTAAATATTGTCCTTATGAATATAACATAAAAGAAGCGAAAACGCAAAAAAAAAAAAAAAAAAAAAAAAAACCAGTTGAAGAATGTTAAAATAACATTTCATCAACAGACTACAGTAAAATTGTGTTACAGAGAGAAGGTGACTTACAGTTTAATTCCAGTCTGTTTAATAACATTATAAAAAGACATTAACATTCTGACTTTTATACTACTTTCAATTAGAGTATTTTATCATAGATAGATATACTCGTAAATTCTCAGCTTATTTTCTCTCATTTGCAATTTGAAACAATTGTAGTAGTAGTAGTAGTAGTAGTGGTAATAGTAGTAGTAGTAGTGGTAGTATTAGTAGTAGTGGTAGTAGTAGTAGTTGTGTAATAAGTAAAATTCTTTGGTTTTCCTTGTGTATATATTCACTTTTAGCTGTGTTCGTTACTTACTTAATGTACGTATATAGGCAGGATAGGCAGGATTGTATCTGCTTAGTGTAGAGTATGTGTGACAGATATTTATTTAAATAAACAATAATAATAATATTTAAATAAATAAAATTGAATAACGTTTCACTTTTTTCTTGCTTTTATTGATTTATATAATAAATATATAAATACATGTTTGCTAGTGTGTTGCGGAGAAAGGAAAAATCAAAAGAAAAAAAAATTTCATTTAACTAAACCAAAATCGTATCTGTGAATTTCATAGGAATTTTCTTTTTCAATTTTTTATAGTTTCGCTATTATTATTATTATTATTATTATTATTATTTTTGAAACAATGATTTTGTTTGCTTTTCGCTTTCCCTAATACTATAGTACAATACTTATATTTGTATAAACCTATTTAATATTATATATTTAATTAATTATCATCAATTAATTAATTCTTTTTTTTTTCTTTTTTTTTTTTCATAACATTCGTTTGATTTTGATTTGACTAGTGTGTGAATGAGTGTTATTGGTGCATGAGTATGTGAATGAGAGTGAAGATTCGTATTTGCATTTGAATGTTGAGCATTCATTTAGATCATATCTTGTTAGCATAAGTTAATATAAAAAAAAAAATAAATAAATAAAAAAAAAAATAATTATAATGAAAAATATTAATAAATAGAAATTAACAAACAATGAATTTTTTTTAATTAATTTTTGTTTACATAAACTTTCTGTTTTTTTATAAATTATATATTAAATTATAATACATACATATACATATATGTATACATGTATAAGGAAAAAATAAATAAAAATAATAACATTTAATAATAATAAATATATAGAACGCACACGCATATTACGTAAGTGCAAGTATTAGAAATGTTGTATTTCTTTCTCTAAATTTTTGTAGTTAACTGAAATTTTTAATTGGTTTTTTTTTTTTTTTTTTTTTTTTTTTTTTTGTGAAATAAATTCAGTCTTTGGTAGTATTATCACAACATTTGTTTACACAATTTGGGTTCGTTTAAATATTTATTTTTCAATAATTTATTTAGGAAAAATTTTACGTACGCGCTTGGCTGGTAACTAACTGCCTTTCTTCTTTTAGGGCTTTTATTAAATATATTTATACATATATATGTATATATGTATATGTATATATACACATATATATATATAGTACGTACATATATTTGATGATTTACGACACGCCCAGATCGTGTAGCAAATGCTGTGTAATAACTTCACCCTGTTCCTCCATAAGTTGTGCCGTCACCGTGTTGATAAGATTGAAAACAATCGCAAAGACAGTGAAAGCGCAATAGATGCTTAAGGCCAACCACCAAATGAGATTATCATAGGGACGACGCTCAAAACTTTTAAGCACCAACAAGCCAATGGTAAGGCCGGCTAAAGCTCCAGTAAGATGAGCTATGTAAGAGACGGGAGGAGCTTCATTTAGCTCGTCAGCGGCCAGATATTGTGTATAGAACGCATATCCCAGATCGCAAAGTACTGTCATTTAAATATATGATAACAAAAGAAAAAAAATAAAAACAAAATAAATAAACAAAGAAAGGAGAAAGAAAAAAAAAAAAAAAAATGTCAGTAAATATCGAAACAAATTGTAATTATGTTAAATAAATGTCATGAATAGTAAGCGAAATTACATAATAATATAGGATAAAATTTTCGTAAACTTACCAAATATCACCACAGAAACGAGCTGAGCTACTGCATATTTCATTTGGCCGTAATTCAATGTTATATTAGCCAAATGGGCAGCCAATAAAGCGTAAACTCCGCCGCTTGCTCCCACTAAATAGACTTCCGAATCTACCACACTAGTACCCAATGAACCGGCAAAGACGCCAGCAAAATAAATGATTGCTATGCGAGCTGAACCATGCATAACCTCCAGTGGGATGCCGTAAAATAACTGAATGACAACATTGAAGCCCAAATGGAACCAATTGGCATGAAGAAACATATACGATATAAAACGCCACACTTCCAAACGACGATCCGGTCTATAAATAAATACCGAGTCTGTTGGTATGGCCATCGGTAAATCTTGCGGTTTTACCAATCCACGTGCAGAGGAAGAAGAGCTATGTGAAACGGAAGCGATTGACTCCTTCTGAACGGTGACCACATCGTAAATAAAAACTGCGATCTAAAAAAATTTTTACATATTTATGTAAAATAAATTTATATTTTTAGAGGAAAAGGCAAATTTAAGGCAATAAAAGAATGAAAAAAAAAAGAGAAGCAGAAAAGAACAAAAGATTTACTTTCCGCCAAGAAATGTCTCTAAACAATTCGAGTTATTGATTGTAAAATGAAGCAAATTTCCCAGCAATTTTCCGGAAAATGCACGCATTTATATGCTTCCCTTTTTTTATATCCATTAGTTATGTTTTTTTTGCGAGAAATAGTTTTCAGATCGTTTTAATTAACGTTTAAACTAGAGCTAGCGATTGCTGTTGTTAAGGAAAATTTGTTAATCATGTTCGCATCAACGTACAAGTTAAAGGAAATATGAAAATAATAGTTTATATATAGAAGTATTCGCGAATCGTTTTTCACTTTTGATTTGATGAGAGGACGTATAGACAGACAGATGCGAATTTGAAAATTATCTAATGGGTCTTATGTGAGCTAGGGAAGGAGCAGACTATGGATAAATCCTAATTAAATCATGAAATACATTAATTCAATTATCTTTCATAGTCCATACTTACCTCGATTAATGAAATCAGCAAAATAAATATTGGCCAACTTTTGGTATGATCAGCTTTAAAGTAAACCGCTTCAATATCGTTAGCTTTATGTGTGGAGCCTGTGGATACTCCAATCGCTAGGGTGTTGGTAGTATGAGAGTTACCGGTGGGCTTCTCCATGTAAATGTGTTCACTGTGCCTGGTACAACAGGTGGCGCTGTTCACACTGCTATCAGTATCATATGACGATGATGATGCCGATGAGAATGTTGCTGTTGTTGGAATGTCTATAACGATCGATTCGAAAGTGGAATCTAAAGATCTGGGTGCCTCTGTCGCTCCTGACTCTGTAGTCATCTTCTTGCTGTTCTTTCAACTTTTTCTTTTATTATTATTCTTTGTTTTTTTTGTTTTTTTGTTTTTTTTTTAAATGTTTTGATATATTCTTCTCTCTACTCGAGAGTGAGTGTTTATTGATATAAAACACAAATTTTTAGCGCCTGCTTTAACTGTAATAGAAAAAAAGAAAATAAATAAATAAAAGAAAATAAATAAATAAAAACAATAAGAAATAAGTAAAAACAAAGATATATTTTTTACAGTTCATTTATGTTGTTGCTTTTTTTTGTAAATTTGCTATTAACGGAATAATTAAGTATTTGATACGATTTAACAAAACACAAAACAGCAGACCCCGACCACAGGAGCAATAAAATGTAAACAAAATTTTTTTTTCTTTTTTTTATATTATATTCTGTACATATATATATATATATATATATATATAGATACATATACATAGATATATATATATTCAATATCGATCGTTACGCATTTCTGTGGTATTTGTTTATAATTTTGCATCTGTTTGTATGTGGGTATGTATGGGTGTACGAATGTCTGCCTTTATAAATTTATATTAAGTAAAATGTTTTAAAAATGCACTCTGTTGTGCGTGCAAGTAATAAAGTGCTATGGATCGATATTAAACGCTGGCCATAAAGAGAGGCGGCGCAATTGTTCTATGGCATTTAGTTTATTTGCTCAAAATTAATATAAGGAACAAAAAAATCCACTAATTTTTATACATCTTTTAAGCAAACGAGATATAACCTAATTTTTTTGTTTTTGTTTTTTTTTTTTTCAAATTTTAATTTTTCAATAAATATTTCCTGTGGCAGACGGCATTTTCTCATTTGCGGTGGGCAAGCAATTGTTACTAAGCTCTCTTGGATGATTAGTAAAATGCATTTCTCAGAATTTTATTGCAGTAATTTTCTTAAAGACAAGCACGATTATCTATATATCAGTTTAAGACAAAAAAAAAAAATAAATAAAAATAAAATAAAAATAAATAAAAAAAAAAAAAAAAAAATAAATAAATAAAGAGCACCAAATATATATGTATGAAAATGACAGCAAGAAAAACAAAAAAAAAAAAAAAAAAAAAAAAAAAAACTAAGAATAATAACAGAACACAACAATATAATGGATTCTATCTAAATATTCAAACTAGCAAACGACAAAAGCTTTTATTAAATTATGTTTAATCGTACATGCATTCAATTACTCGCTTTGACAAGGAACATAACAAATCATTAAATTTGTATTACGCACACATGTACGCAAATATCATTTAGATATGCTTATACAGTTTTCAATTTAATGCTAGAATCATGCTGTGTACGTTAATCTGCGTATAAGCGCATGTATATGTAGCTCAATAGGGTTTCATAACATTGTGAAAATAATTTAATGAAATTTCCGGAAAATGCAAAATCGTTGGCGACTGCTTTTGAATAAATATAAAAAAAAAAAAAAAAAAAAAAAAAAAAACACGCCAAGTTGAAATGGAATTTTTTCCACAACAACTCTCTTTCGCTGCTTATTTAATGAATACATTTTGGAAAAGTAAAGAAAAAAGAACATAGGCTCCGCTAAAAGATATAAGAGTAATTAGGATATGTAAGTGCAAGCATTCTATTGCATAACTTTATGATAGGATAGCATACGGCACTAACTCTTGCCATATACAATGAAGCGTTTTGAGCATTACATTCACCGGCACAAACGTTACGCAGGATTATCTTATGGAACAAAATTTACTCGTAGAACATTCGTAACAGTATAATGAGAAACTTGTTATTATCCAAAGTAGATCAAAATGCTATGGCAACTGGGGCTTCGTCTCATTGGATATTTGTCATAACTTAGCGTAACGTCAATAAGTCCGTAAAATTTTTAAAATCCATTTCGTAGATAGAGTCTTTAGACCCTATTCGAGATTTGTACGGACAGAAGAAGAGACTAAACTGATTAAATTCATTCCGTGTCTCGTGCATAGTTCGTACGTAGTTCTATATCTTACATATATCTAACCAATGTTAACTTATGTTATGCACTCTCTGCAGTGGTAATAAACAAATTTATTTCACCATCCATTCACCATGTACTATAAATGCCACCTTTTAATTATTTCGATAGATTCAGAATAATTTTCGGAATCCAGGTGAATTTGTCTGCCCGTCTGTTTGTCCGTCGTTTGTCGTTTTCTTGTCTTCAGGCTTATAAGCCGCCATTTTTAAAATAATTTGACAATACACGAACGTGTTTTGGCGCAGGGACGAACGTTATTGAGAATGCTTCGGATGAGAACATTTTTTCGACAAGTTGTCATTAAGAGTCGCTACATGAATAACTGTAGCAGGGTGTACTTAGGGATAGTTTTTACTTTAATGTGTACAGTTATGATCTGCATAGTGTTTGTTTAAGAAAGTTTGGAAAAAGTAAATGTTTACTGTCGGCTACTTTTCTATGATTCAAAAATCGCCGATGAATACATTTGTACACGTTTTTGTTCTTCCTTTTACCGCATTGAGAAATTATTTGAGGAATAATGGTCAAGCCTGACTAATCTAATGTTCATTTCAGTTATTGGGCGATACATGCATAATCGAATGGAAGATGGAGAAGCACGAGAAATATTTATTTTTGCATGAGTTTCTTTATGCATATTTATTAGAAAACAAAAATGTTAATTACTTTATTATTATGCCTGTGTATATGTGCGAATATATATGTCTTTATATAGGTGCATTTTATACACCAAGCAGTCATGTTTATTAATTACGAAAACCACACTTGAGTTATTTGTTTAACATAGAAGAGTTAGAAAAAAAAAAAAAAGAAAAAACAAAATAAAACAAAAAAAAAACTTTGTTTTTTTTAAGTTTGCGTACCAAAAAATCAAATAGCGTAACAGCATAAGCTATAAATAAAATATAAATATCAGAAGATGCACGCATATGTACATACATTCGTATGTACGTATGTATATTTATGTGTCTGTATTCATAATAGTAATAATAATAATAATAATAATAATAGTAATAATAACAATAATAAAAATATTGCATGTTGCACGTCTAATATTAAATTAAAAATTGCTATTTGATTGCATGTGTCTGCATATGTATCTTCGCATGTGCATAACTGTTTTATAAAACAAGAAGCAAAAGAAGATAAACCCAACCACACTTTATAAGTTAGAGAGAAATCTAATAAAGCACACAATTAAACCATAAATATAATGCAATGCCATGTAATGCGCCTGCTGCATACCATGGCGCATAATGCATTGTGTTTCATGCATTTACCGTGCATCAATAGCAAAAGATAATTTCTCAATAATGTAATATATAAATAAATAAATATATATAAATGTATATACAATTTACGAATGAGTAATTCTATATACGTACATAACTAAATATCATATTAAAATATATAGCGATGGGAAGAAAATTTATCTAGTGTGTTGGATGCGTGATAATGCACAAACCTTCATATGTTATATATATGTATCTGATTTTCATAATACTCGATGATCTACGAATTTCAAGTTAGAATAAATATTAAAATTTGGTTTTTTTCTTAGTTTTCCTCATTTTTTTTTCATTTGTAAACACCAAAATCCATATACATATATACATATATACTTAGCAGCAGTGTTTCTATGAAAAGCTTTCTTGAGCATTACATGATAAAAATAGACCTGGTATAGCGATTATGCATTGATGTTTGAAAGCACAACTCATGCAAGATTAAATAAATCGAATATTTCATCTAACACACAACTATTACTTATTGATTCTTAAAAATATCGATTCGTCCTTCATTATTATATTGTAAAATTAATTAATCCGCAATATTGTTGCTAGAATTGGTAACATTTGGGGGTCAGTTGCCAAATGTTGTTGATTAAGTAATGGCACATTGCTAAAGAAACCGTTCGATAATATGCCTGCTTGTCAGAAGTTTTGATAGCTAATTAAACCAAAAAAAAATTGAATTCCAATCGAAGGGTACTCGGTATTCAGTTTAGGTCATGAAATGTTTGTTGCTGCGTATAAATAGTTCTTTTTCCTCTTTTTTCTGATTCTATAGACAAGAATGCGCACTCAATGCCCTTTGCTACACATACATATATATATATATATATATATATATATATATATATATGCTGCGAATGTAACACTATTTGTAACTGTATAGTTTTTTTTCTTTTTGTTTCTTGCGAATATTGTTAAAAAAAAAAAAAAAAAAAACCTCTAACCACTTTGTTGTTACTTAGCTTTGAATGAATAAAACGAATATTTGAATGAATGAATGAATGAATATTTGTGTTATATTGTGTACATATAGCGGCTGTTTGAATGCGTGCTTCTTTACTTTTTCTTACAATTCAATAATGATGTTACACTTTGCGTGTGCGTGTGTGTGTGTGTGTTTTTATTTAGTGTATAAATGTCATTAGGGTTAACCGCTTTTTGATTAGTTTTTAAATTTATCAAAGATTTTTTTATTTAAATATTTTATTGCCTTTTGTCATCACGTTGCTATATTAGTGTTCGTGCTGTTGTTGTAGTTATTAACAAGACATTTTTTTATTTTTATTTTTATTTTTAATATACGCGCACTTATAACTTAACGCAATTTAAACATAAAGGAACACATTTCTTACCTTATTAACGATCAATAATTTTTGTTGTTGTTGTTGTTGTTGTTGTTGTTTAAGGAGAAGAAAACAAAACAATATAAATATAAAAAATAGTCCACTTGTCTCGTTCGGGGTCACACAACACTACGTAATGTGCAAAACACAAAGTGAACAGCAGCTGCTTTGTTGTGTTTCTCTACAGATCTTTTTCAATGCGGTTTTAATTGCCGTTACTGTTGTTGCTTAAATGGATATATGTTTATGAACAAATACGCGTAAAACATTAAAATATTGAATGACTTGGTTTTTTTTTTCTTTGTAGAATTCGCGTTATATATATATATATAACGCTATATATATATATATATATATATAGATATATATATATGCATATACATGTATGTATATGTTATAGCTTATATGTGCGTTTGTTCATGTTACATGTAAGCTTTTTTCTTTTTAATAATTCCTTATTTAATTTAATTTTTTTTTTAATGAAAACGAAAAAAAAAAAACATAACTTAATTATTACGACATTATTCACATAAATAATAATACAGAGTTGTTAGGTGTGTGTGTGTGTAAAAACTTTATTAAATTCTTTTGCCGTGATGGTAGCCCCCGCACGATCGCGTTTCAATGCAATTCTTATGTGTGAACTGAACTTGATGTGACTTCGTTTTCCATTCAAGAAGTTTTGTGAAATTTGAATTTTTAAACTTTTGTAATAATTGCACCTCAATTGGAACAACTGATGAGTTTTCTTATTGAAAACATTGTTTTCTTTTCTTTTTTTTTTTTTGATTCGAAGACGATTTCTGTTTTTTTTGTTTTTGTTTTTTTTGTTTTTCCGTTCAATTTGTGCTTCTTTTTTGTTTTCAAAATTTTACATTCACATGTTCATTGTCGTTGTGTTTAACGGTGTTGCCAAGAGAGATGTTTTTGTTTTATTACATACGTATATTAAATTTTTATGTTAAAACGCGTTTGCACTAAATATTAATATTTATGTGTGTATATCATAAACGGTTGCTATAACAACTTAATTTTTATTTAATTTAATTCATATACGTTTTCTTTTTAATTTGCTCAAAGCCTTAATGTATTTGATTGCTCCCGGCATCCATGCCTATATACACACACTTCTCGCGTTTCGTTTTAACTGTTTGCAAATTTGCAAACGGTCAACATATTTATATACATGATTTCTATAAATCGCTTACATTATTTTGTATATATATTTACGTATATTATTTCGCACAAGTTCTCGCGCGACAAGAGATTCACACATCCTTATCGTTCAAGTAGCAATTCGACCGCAACCAACTATTCTAACTATTCTTAACGAAATTTTAGCTGAGACTGCTGAGACTGCTGAGACTAAAGCCAGCAACAGCTAGATTTCGTATTTTATTTACAGTTTTTTAACGAACCTAACAACACGAGTGTTAGACAGTTCTCGACTTGTGCCAACCTAATGGTATTAAACGAACATAATAAAACCTGGTTGCCAATTGTTAATAGCGTTGTGACAACCAAACAAACACACATTTTGGATGGGCTCTTTGAATTACACTCAGATGCAGCCAATTTGGGACGGGCTCCTTGATTTTACTCTCAGATGCTGCAGCTGCTTAAACTTATCTTCTTTTTGACTTTGCTGAGAGTAAATTTACTTTTTTTATGAAAGGTGTTTTGGGCTAAATTTTGTTTGAAACTAAAATTTACTTTGCTGTGTGTTCTTATGGGATGCACACCGCAAACTAAAACAAACAAATCTAGGAATCTAGGAATGTTTAGATTTATATTCATGTATCTCTCATGTTTCATTCTCTTTTATTTAGATTCCTCTCAGTATAAAATAAAATTTTCTAGTAACAATGCCAGCAATAATTGAATAAAAAGGATGGCGATTAAAGAAAACCCCCTCTCAGAAAACTGAGAAAATATGGTCAAAACGATGAAGTTGAACATACCAGTCGTCAAATAGTCTCGTGTTCGTTGGCTACGAATCGAACCTTTGAAACCTTGTTCAGACAATAAAACAGCTGAACATGAATGATGTGCCTCTCTATTAAAACTTGCTTCGTATGCTTTTGTTCACATTCTCTCTCTCTCTCTCTTTTTCATGTTTTTGGTATTACGTTTAATGCATACACGCATACACAGTGACATATGCGAAGATCGTAGCCAGCTGTGTTTACGTTTTGTTTGGTTACTTAGTTTGCAGGCTTGCTGACATGCAAGCGTTTCTTTTTTTTTTTTGCGAGTTGTTTTAACTGCTTTAGGGAAAACGGAAGCGGAATCTCAAGAGTCTTTGAGTCCCCTCTTGTGTTTGACTAATTATTGTGCTGTTGGTTATCATACTCAAAACTCTGTAGTTAGTCAACTGTTGTGTGCGTGTGCGTTTGCGTTTGCGTTTCTTCTTCTCTTGTTTTTTGTGAAACGTTCAGCTTTATGTCAGGAAATGCCTTAAAAAATAGTAAAGTTTTGTACAATTCTTATTATGAGATTTGGTACGTGCCACATATGTTTACAACATCGAACATGTTTGGCTCGCCAATAATTATGATATTCGTTGGAAACTATTTTTTCCTTCCTTCATATTATATACTTATCGGACGTGTTTGATATCAATCTTAAGTTTGATAAATGTTAGAATGTGTTGTAAATTTTATTTCATCGCAAACGTATAAGAGTAAAAAGCCTTGTCCCAAAAAAAAAAAAAAAGCTCTCTGTGCTGTTGTATAATAAGAAATTTCAGAGTAATTACGATGGCTTGCTTGTCGATTCACACATATGTACGTGTTATATTAGTTTTGAGACAGGATACAAGCATTCTTTAAGAGCACACTATAGTTTTGATTTACACTTGTGCCCCCTTTATTAGGATTTAAACAGTATCAGGGATATGCATGCATGTGAAATAGTAAAGATTGCTAATATAATCCCAAATTTGAAATTTTTGCTTGCGAAAGACTTACAGTTTTGATGAGTAAGAATATGGTATATAAAATATAGGCCATTACAGCTTAACAGTCCCTTAATTCTAAAAAGATAAACTAAATCCCTATCAAATGCCGTTAAGTTAAAAGTGAAATATGTCGTACTTCGTATCGTAAACTATTGTTATGAATTGTAATCAGCGTTCGTCAAGCGTACGTCATGCTGTTTTACATTATTCATGGTTATTGTACATAAAGCTAATCTTTTTTCACTTTTTATTATATATAAATCGATTTCGTGCCAGAGTTAAGTGGTTTTTAATTAAAATCATTCTAATTATTGGTCCTTGTTATTGGCTTTTTAGCTTAAAGTCAGTGACTCAAAATTTTGTCCATTTCGTATCGGTCACATGATAAGTTATTACGCTGTTTTTACGTTTAAGTTTTGAGAATAAAAAGAAAATTTAATAAAATGTGACAAAAAAAAAAAAAAAAAAAAAAGTTGTTAGATAAAGTTACTGTACATTCCGATGAATTATCTTTGCAATTGCAATAAAAAACTAAAGATAAGATATATTTCGCAAAAACGTTAATGAGCATTGTAAACGAAAGACAAATACTCAGATACCCATTCCTCTATCAAACGCGCATACACCCGCTTAATATGTAACAATTTTAAGGAGGTTCACACTAACCATAACATTGGCGAAGTCAGTATGTAACAAGTCAATGGGAAAACTATAGGTAAAGAAATCCAACTTTCATATATTTGGTAATTTCAAACGTAGGTATAAAATAATATATAATGTGCGTAATTGTACTGAAAGCAATTTCATTGACCTTGATAATTTTAACCGAAATCAACCAAAAAAGAAACAGAACCACTCTATGGGGTCACCGTTCTACGGCACTTTGTTTAGTTCATTTATTCATAATGGGTGTGGAAAGACGTCGGAAAAGTGGTTCAGCCCGACCGAATCTCAATAGCGTTTGTCCTTGGGCCAAAATATCTTAATATCTTGCGACCTGTAAGAATGCAAGACGGACAGATGGACTGACAAATTTAGAAATGTGATACTAAATCGATCGGTGGGTAAGTATATTAAGTCCTTTTTGGCTGTCGTATATATCCATACAAAATTTAATGACCCAAATTTGTGTAGGGTATAAATATGATTTCTCTCCGCAAAAAATATCAACGAAAATTTGTAATATTAATAAAATTATATTGAAATCTTATTTATAAGCACACGTGCCGATGTCACTCGTTTCAATAAGTAAAATGTCTTGATGAAATGAAGGAAATTGCTGTGAGTGAATCCGAGTCAAAACCTCCTTCTTTTCCTTTTTGATTATATCTGCAGCTACGTTGCGGTGAAAGTTTGACTGTTCGATACCATGCACTTCATATGCTACTTATTCCGCTTTAAGTTATTAAACACATTTATAGAACTATCCATTAGTTTTATTTTTTATAGATTTGTATACGGCCTTCATAGCTTATGGATAGAATATATAGATGCCTCTTTTTACGTTTTTTTTTTCTTTTTTTTGCTTGACCTGAGCAGAAATGAAATTAGATCAACAATCGAGCGCATATTGACGTTTTTAATTAGCTCAAAGCTGAGTAAAGAAAGGCGAACTACATCGTACACATATGCATGCTTACATTGAGAATGTATTAAATATATGTATTCACTTGATAATGAACACATCCATATGTCACATTTCCTTTTTGCGTTTGTAGTTTTGAGGAAAAGTTTACTGTATTATGATGCTATGAAATATGTAATGAACATGTATGAATGTTTGCTATCAAGCATTGCCGAATTGTCATAAAATTTACAATAACAAAATATAAAAGAAAAAGTGAATAGAAGAAAAAGACAAAAAGTATAAATTAAATGTTTTAAAAAATTGCCAAAGTAAGGTGTAATTTATCTATGCTCATGTACATGTGTAGGTTTATGATTGTGTGTTTGTGCATGTTAAGAAAGAGAGTAAAGTGAATGATAATAAAATGATGGAAAAAAGCTTCACAAAATAAGAACAAATGGCTAAATGAACGTTGATGTTATTAAGTTAGGGAAACGAGAACAAAGAGCAGTTATATGTTTTTGCATGTGTGTACATGTGTGTGTGTGTGTGTGTGTTTGTATATGTGGGCATATGTGTTATTATAATGCTGCTGGCTTAAGGGCCTGCTTGAGTGAATGGCGGACAAGTACATACAAAGAAATATTTACAAACATGCATACCATTATATATATGTGTATGTGTACATAGATATATATAAATACAAGCATAGTAATGACACTACTACTACTACTACTACTGCTACTACTACTGCCACAAGTTCTGCTGATACGGTTGCTGAATAAAGTTTGAATATTGGCAAGTGTCCA